AGAGAGAAAGACAGGGCCGAGCCAGTTTAAAGAGAGGCTGATATCCCCAATATGCACCCACACCTCTCTGCTCAGCAAATCAGGCTGTCTGGAGACTGAATGAGAGCATGTTCCTCTACCACAGAAGGTCAGTAAGATAAAAATAACCCCCAAAAGCCTATATTCAGCATGGAAGCACAGTGCTGAGCCAGGGACAATGATAATAGGAAAACACAATAGTTCCTCTAAGCAGCCCTAAAATAATAGATTATAAATGGGCAAAGGGGGAGGAGAAGGGATGGAGGGCTATTTTATCACTATTCTAAAAGCATTCAGAGGAAATAAATTTGGATTGATTTGACAGACTGTTCTCAAAAGCCAAAATGTGCTAAATATAATGCTGAATTTTCCTAAACACAAAACATGTCAGCAAGAATCCCCTGGCCAGCAACTTTTTAGTATGTGTGCTTTTTTGCCCCCCTCCCTTTGTTTAGCCTTTGCCCCACGATGGTTATTTGCCTTTCTGGAGAGCTTAATCAGGAGCTATTAGAGGTAGTCACTCTCCAAGCTGTATAATGTTAAAAGTCCATTAGCTCACCCCAAGCAAGGCTGGCAGGAGGGAGATGATGTACTTGCTGAAGTTGAACGAGCTATTTGCATGCTGAATATCTCTAATCACTGAGCCATGCCAGGAGAATCTGAACATTATTGCACTCAGCTGCCCAGTGACCTTTTGAACACACTCGCTTTAATACAAAACAAAGTGACAAAACATATCCATCACTGAACCTGCAAAAAGGGGCAGATGCATGTTTTTAAGCAATTCTAGGCATCAACTATGCACACCTTTAAAAACATTTTTTTTGGAGAAATAATAATTAGCAAAGCCTCTGCCAGATTCACTTGCATTATGCATGGTTGCTTGTATTATGCATGGGTTAATAAAATACGACAGATGTCTGCTTACTTTTGGTTTGATCACCATCAGTTTAATCCAGCAAAGTGCACACACTTAGTTTCAACCGCATTTTCAAGTCCCAATGGACTTTAATGGGACTTGGGCCCTGTCCTGTGACCCTTCAGCCCAAGCCACCACCTCCTGGACACTGGATCTGATTACCCAGCTACCATGTGTGTTCATCGCTACACAGCAAGCAGATTGGGGAGACACCTAAATAAACCTTCTTTACAGAAATGTTTTCAGAGGCTGCAGCTGAGTGGAGCCAGGTCTAAGCACCAGTCACTGCCTCTGGGGCAGAGCAATGTGACCTTCAGGAACCGCTGGCCTTAAAGGCTTTAAGTAGTAATTTTTCTCTGTATTCCAAGATTTACCAGAAAATTTAAACAACTGATTGGATACCGCCAGCTACTGGTGGAAGTTTGGCACCAGGACAGCATCTTACATGAAGCCAGCCACCCTGTACTTGTTTTAGAGCTCAGTGCCCGCAGAGAGAGTTTGGGCAACAATTCACACGGCCCACAAAACTGGCTAACATAAGTTGAGCTGTGGGCACATCTCACGTCAAGTGACTGCTGTCTTTCAGTGACTGTCACTGACCTGTCAACTTGTAGCAGACACAAGCCTGTCTCACAGCGTACTATAGCCTCCATGAGGAGACCAAGAAGTGGAAGGGCACAGAGCTCAGGTGTCCCTGTCGAGCCCAGAACCACCTCAGCTGCCAAACAAGGCTGCTCTCCACTGGAACAAGGCAATCAGGGGAAGTCCAAGAATTTAGATCAAAATTAGAGCTATTTCTCCAAGTCACAGAAGGACAACAGAAAAGACAGACCATTAAAGCACAGCTCTTCCAATGGCTTTTGGGGATTGTCTTCTATTTTAGGCAGTGGATGGTTAAACTCCTGCTGATACTTTGCTGAATCTCCTGCAAAGAGTGACTCTCATAGTCAGTTGTAGTTCTCTGGTTAGAGCATCAACATTTCTCCAGGCTAGAGTATTCCAAAACGTGGAGAAACTGATTTATCACAGCCAGCCAGAAGCGACTGAGGCTTCACATAACATGCTTGAAGGACCAGACTGCAGGCTTTCACAAAGCTCTTGGGCTGTTGTTCTCTTCTGCTCTAATTTGAATACACCACCACCACCACCACCCCCCCCCCCAAGAGAATAACCCCCAACTGTCCCATGGTTTTGTCAGCTCTGCAGCAGCTCAGGTTTCCCCCTGGAGTAGTGACAGGTTCTTCAGGGTCTCCCAGAAGTGACAATAACTGGAACCAGTCAAATTAGCGGCTCCTCCCTTTGTGCTACTGGCCAGAAGCCCTATGGAAAGAGCAAAGCCAAAAGCTTGTCCCAAGAGTAGGACCACAGCCAGCATGCCTGAGGAGGCTCACACTGAGAAATGGAAGTGGAGCCTCTGAAGGGCACTTTTGCTTCCTCCCCATCTTTCTGATACCTCAAGGCCAAACCCTCCTGGCTGGGACTCCCCTCCCTTTTAACAGTGCAGGAGGCAGTAATACACAGACACATAAAGGAGACCTACATTCTTACATATGCAGCCAGCCACTCACTAATTGTCCCAACCTTCTTGCAACATCACTCACCAACAGGGTGAAGCCAGCGGGA